GATCCTTGTCTCAAGAGCTTACTTCACATTCCAACAAACGGATTGCTAAAGATGATCTCGATTTAGGCTTAATAGAATGTTCGCAAGAGTGAAAACCTGTCGACCATCGGCGAAAATTGAATGAAACAGTATGTGCTCTCCCACAAAAACCGCATTCTAATCCCTACTCCCTCCACCTGATTAAATTCTTAGTCCACCGGTTTCCTAACATGACCCCTCACTCTCCACTGCAGTAAATATATACGGTCAAGTTTTAAAGAAAAAGCAAAATCGCTGCAAAACTCAAATACGAGTAGATAAAGGGGGCCATCGAGAATTCCGTCGGTTGCGTAGGCCATTTAACGCAATTGATAGACCTCTCACAAAGTTTTCCAACCTTAAAACTATTCTTTGACGTGTGTAGGGAAGGCGCCAAGCCAATGAATCGATGGCAATCAGTCTTATTCTTGCAATGAAAATTATACAGGAATTGGTCAACATCTGAAAACTTTTCCAGGTGTAATGGTTTATAAAGGATACCGAAGAGTGGGACGCTATCTGTCAGTCAGAAAGTAACTTTCAAATACGACAATTAGAACGGAAAGATGAGGTGTTAGGAATGAGGTGTCAGAATGTTCTCAAAAACACTCACCACAACGTCCGGTCGCATGGGATAGGCGAAAGAGACATTGCGGAATTCGATAGAGCCGTGCATGTTATCGAGCTGCAAGCCTGAAGCGTCCTTATCAATCTTGGGAACCTAAGGGATGGAAACAGAGCAAACGCTGCGTACATTTCTCCATCACATTGGAGAAAAGGATGTCATCTGTGTGTAAGATCCACAAAAAAGAGCTTACACGTTCAATGATCCAGTATGTACTTGAGGCCGCAGCTGTAGCCCTAGTAAAGTAGGAGAATTCCGGCAACACCAAACCCAATGCAATGCTGCCAACGATGAAGGCGAGAACGACCTATTCGTTTAGCAATTAAAAAAAGCATGACAATGACTATTAAGTGCGTGAGTGGTGAATCAAGAAATTGCATTGACTCAAACACGAAACAGTAGCAGCTATAGCAATCCAAAAGCCTTTGACTTAGCGTTTAAAAGTCATATCTTCACTAAATATGCATCCTGTGCCTGGCATTGTATTGGAATAAGATAGCAGACCCTTTCAACTTTTGACCAAATATTTAAACGTACAGAAACAATGGTTCCACTTTCGGTATTTGGTTGACCATCCATATGCTCCTTTACACCAAACCAAAAGGTCAACCCTGCCGCTGCAAAAATGGAGCCACCAATCAAGCCAATACCTGAAAAAAGTAAAGTCCTTTGTGTTAAAGCTTCATCCCCACGACTTATGTTGTCTTAGTGACTATAGAATGACTGACCAAAACCAAGCATAACATTCTTTAAGAAGGAGACTTTCGCAGCAGCACCGAGTTGGGAGGAGTAACGCTGCTTCTCTTTCTCCTGCCCAATGAAAGCAAATACTGTTTTGATGGCGTTGAAAACCTCACTGGCAACATTATTTGCCTTTGAATAAGCTCTCTGCTCCTTCAAGGCAAAGTTACTCATTGTAAGGCCCATGACGGAAAAGGCAAGCACAATGAGTGGTGCTGCACTCAGTCCAACCAGAGCAATCTTCCAGTTGTTTATAAAGGCGCATACATAACAAGAGATAAACATGGCCGCATTCTGGATAAATCGACCAAGGCGCTCGCCGATGCCAGTCTCAATTTGTTCGATATTCGACGTCAATTTCGTAATAAGATCGCCCAACGACTGACGGTCGAACCACGGGACGTCTTGTCGAAGTATTTGCTAAAATGGAAAAATGGCCATGAGCGAGTAGAACAATCATGAGTAGCAAATGCCACAATTAAGCAAATTAAACGCAATTACCTTAAAGAGTTTGAGACGGATTCGACGACTCTGTCGTCTAGCTGAATAGCTAAAGTTGAATATCTCTATGAACGCCAAAATCAGTGTGACAACTCCCAGCAAGCAAAACCATCCGACCATTATGCGCATCTCATCAAGATTTACAGGTAGAGGAGAGGTCAGCAAATTTATAACGCTTGAAAATATAACCAAGTTCACAGGAAATGAACAGCCGACGGCCAAGGCGAAGATAACGCCAACAAAGAGCATGATTTTATCTTTTGCATCAGAGTATCGAAACTGAACAAAACCAGCATATTGAATAACGAAATTGAATTTACCAGTTGGTAGAATCTAATTTTTTCTGATTCGTCATCCCTAGGAAGAAAGTGTTGGATGAGGCATTACATCTTACGCAAAATCACCAATGTCGTCCTGTTCCTCTTCATTCTGAAAATTGTATTACACTTTAAATTTCATAACACCAAATTAATTCTTGAATTAAGCCATACTTTTCATAAGCAATAGCTTTCCACTGTTAACAAGTAGTCTCCAGTAAACATATAGTCTCAGAATTTAAAGCTCAGCGTTTCTAATTCCAGTTTTATCAAGTATCTTTAAGAAAAATTCCTATAAATAGGGCACAAGGCCACTAAAATTGATAAATACAACCAGTAGCAAGCACTCTTTTAAGCAACTTACATGCGTACAAAAAAGTGCCAAAATATTTAGCTTTTATTTACCTCAAATGGGTCGGCATCTTCATGCGCCATGTGTGACGATTAACGTGCTACACCTGACTCAAGTCTATCAAAATTTCACAAGTCCTTCGGTTAAATAGTGGTTATAAATTCAAACAATTTAAAGGATTATTGTAAGTCAAATTTTGACTTGACTTTGCTACCAAAAATTGCTATGTTTACAATAATACTTATTGTCCGACAACCGTTTTGTCAATTTTTAACTTTTAACATGAGAGCCCCCTCCGAGGTATTATGACTGATGAAGCTGTCTGTTTCAGCTCCTTCGTACACAAAACCATAGTGCAACCATAAAAATTGAATGTTTAAGAGACTATTATGTTGTGCTTTTGAAATTACCTGTCCTATGCATTAGTTTACGTCTTTGTCAAGGATTTCTTCTCTGGAATATCTATTTCCTGATGAAGAAAACGCAACACTTAGACTCAGTTAATGTGTTCACATACTGTGAACTTTTGTGAAATTATTCCAGCATCGCTTAAAACATATTTTAAAGATTTCTTTCTGTAATACTTTGTTTATTTGACTACATGACGTTTGGCGGTCAGTTCAGAATTTGTCTGGTCCTTGTACACGTGGGTCAGCCGCACTTATTGTCTTCTTATACCGGTCAAGAAGTCTCGGGACGCTACAATTTCCTTAAGGATTAATGCTTCTAAGTATTACTCAGGTTTTGATAACTTTCTACTGAGGACAGGGACTAATCAACCCTAAGGGTCTTGAGTAGCGTTGGACATCATTCTAGGTTATTTAAACCAGTTAGCTTGATAGGTCCTTTTGGCGTAAACTGGTACTGCCGACACCCAAAGAGCCCTACCTTTAACCCCCAGGAACTAAGGTGCCCTGGAATCAGGTATTTGGTGCCATGGCCCTTTAGGTTCCTTTTCAAAAACTACTAAACCCGTCTACATTGCTTGACTTACCCTTACGATGTATTTGGACCACAAAGTGAACTCGCACAAGTACTTTTCACTTTAAGAGGGCCACAACTACTACCAGAACATTAGGCTTGCGATAACCTTTGTTGTCACTTTTTTATGCATGAAAAGCTAATAGAAAGGTAATTACAACCTTAGATCCTGCTTAAGGTTGTAGGCCAGCAACATTCGATACCTAATGGCGATGTTGATATGAATTGTTAGTGATTAGAAGTCCACAGTACAAATAAACCGTGCAGGTTAAAAGAAGACGAGTAATAAAGTGATGAGTAGAAGAGTCAAGCTATCTCCTGTTTAATTTACTGCTGCATCTACATTGTGTAGGGTATAGAAAACTCCACGAGCCTGCATTAGAGCTGCAGGTTGGCCGTATTCAACCCGTTGACCCTCTTGCAACACCACAATGACATCGCAATTCTCCACTGTGGTGAGACGATGTGCAACTAC